TTTAATGTTTCCTGACACACAGTCAGTGCTATCTTAGCACTTGCTATTGTTACTAATATCAAAGATGCCAGGCACACAATAGAGCAAAGGCTTAAAAACACCATTGTTAATTAAATTGATGAGACTGGGGTGATGAGGGATGTCCTGCAACCAAGGTCCATGCCCTTGGCTGGAATCGAACCCGGGACCCTTCAGCCCGCAGGGCGACGCTCTCTCCACTGAGCCAAACCGGTCAGGGCCCCAGGAGAACATTTTTAAATGCCATTCCATGCAACCTCCGGCAGGCGTGCTCATAACCGTCAATGAGTCAATTAGTAAAATGAACATGAACTGAACCCTCACGGGCAGCTTCCACCGACAGGCAAGTAACTTTCTCCACTATTTGAAGTGAGCAAAAGTGAAGAGGAATCCTTCCCTCCCTCTCCACCTGCGTGGAGGTCGGGTGCTTACACACAAATCGATTCTCCAGAAACGCAGGGACAGGGTGTGTGACCACAGCCCAAACCATCAAAGCCATGGGAGATGCCCATACTGTGCTTCCGAGTCCACACACAAGAGGCTCACCGACTCGCACAGCTCTGCCTGTTCGTCGTCCTTCACATTTTACTGCACAAAAGGCAGAACCACGAGTTCACGCAGAGAAGCAGGTGAGAAGCAGCTCCATCCCACACAGCGACAGCGGCTAACCCTCCGTCCTTCCCCGGCAGAGCCCTGTGCCCAGACACGGAAAGAAAAGCAGCGGAAACAGCATTGTTTTAAAATTGATTTCCGAGAGGAAGGAGGGGGGAGAGAAGCATCAATGCTGAGAGAATCACTGATCAGCCGCCTCCCGCACGGAGGATCGGAGGATCGGGCCCCCACCGGGGATGGAGCCGCAGCCCAGGCATGTGCCCTGACCGGAGCCGAACCCTCCGTCCGCGGGCCGAGGCTCTACCTCCTGAGCCTGAGGATGGCCCTGAGGATGGAGACTGAAGGCCCGGCGCGTGGGGGCCTGGCGGCACCGGGGCGGCCGGTCCTTTCTCGGGGCCACTTACTTTCTTCCAGTGAGCACCTCACGCGATCGCTCCTCCTCCTGACCACGCAAGCCAGCCCTTTATAAAATACCGTCTGCCCTTAGAGCAACTCGGCGAAGACGTGGCCATCCATAAAAACGAAATAAGACTCCAATGCTATAGGACTAAGGCGAGCCTTACATGAAAACCAGGTTTCTTGGGTCATTTCACCGCAATCCTTCTTAGTTTATTTTAAATCCAAACTTACTCCCACAGAGAAAAGAGCGCACCCACTAAAGCACAAATTATGCTCCATCGCAAGCCCTGGCGGAGGGAGAATGAGAGCTTTCACATCCACTCGACCTCAGCGCCTACATTGTAAGTGGTTTCCAGGCCCTGAGCCCTGCACACTTAGTTCACAACAGCCAGGGCCACGGATATTTCCTCTCCGCCCAGCAGTGAGCACGGGCTGGGGGGGTCGGGGGGAGGCAGCCGCCCTTCAGCACAGAAGCCAGCCCTGGATTTCCCCTTCCTCCTCCCACAACTCACTCCCTACGCCACACCCTCCTCTCACCTTCAGCTGCTCTCTTCCCAGGGCTTCGTCCCATCAACCCATAAACATAAGCACACTCAGCTCCCCCTC